TATCTCCTTTTAAAGTTGTTTGTCTGAATCCTAATGTTTTATAAACCTAAGAAATACAAATTAAAGAAATAAAAAAGTGCGATATTTGAGAATGATTTCTTGCTCTTGGCTGCCAGGAAAGTACATCCATTTTTGCAAGATTAGCAGATCCATATATAATCTGAACCCTGTATTTTAGCTTTAGAAAATGTTCCAAAAATTCTTGGCTTATACATGGAAATATATGGTAGGTTTTCTGGTTTCATTTAAATTCTTTGAATGATTTGTCAGACAGAACTCTGTGTAAGGTCGATGCTATGATGGAAATTTTGAAAATTTCGCTGTTCCAAGAAAGGGGAAGTAGTCAGTCTTATAAGTTTTGGCTATGCAGTTGATTAGATTTTTATGGAATGAAGATTTTTTATCCGTATCAATTTGTTTTGTTTGAGAATAAATACTATCCAAGTTCTATGGAATGAAGATTTTTTATCCGTATCAGTTTGTTTTGTTTGAGAATAAATGCTATCCAAGTTCTATTCTTTGAATGGGGGTGTGGTGAAAACTTTTCCTTTCTTTCTCCAAAAGCAGTGATAATGTGTGAAAAGGGGGAAAAAAACTTCTTTTTTGTTCTTTCCTTATTGCGAGTTATGACTCATTCCCCCCAGTTCTCGGACATTCTCTTCTGGATTCTTTTCGGCAAGTAGGCGCGGCAGAAAAAAAAGGGAGAGACTTCGTTCGACCGGATGTGCGATCACGTGACTCTGGATTCAAAGGTCTTATCTCTCCTGGCGTGGCGCCAATAAATAGAGAAGGGGGATTTTTCGCCGTATTAGCTATTTTTCATTGATCGCTTCTCAACTTTTTTTCCTCCGCTGTGTAAAATTTTCGTTTCATTTATTGATGCATGTGTAAATTTTTCGTTTCGTTTATTGAAATATTTTTTTATTTATGTACGCAAGAGAATTTCACTATGAAATTTCTCAATATAAATAGTGATATTATACAATTAGAAGAAGGTGTCCGGAATGCATTTAGGTGGAATATTGGATTGAATGGAGAGATGGTAATGGGGATACCATCGCCACATGGTGCAAGAAAATAAATGTTGCTGGACAAGCATATTGTGTTTTTTGTAACTCACTGCTGAAGTATGGTGGGGAAGGATTCAAGGCTTTCACAAATCATTCTAAAACTGTGACGCACATGAAATATTCAAAGTGCATTAGACATTCAATGACTTTAAGTAATTATGCTAATTCAAAAAATACTGACGACTTACTGGAGACTGATGCTCGGCCATTGGATATAGTGACAAGAAAAGCACGGCAAGAGGTATTAATAACTTCGTTTATCGCCGAGAATTCTCTTTCTTTCAATTTATCTCCCAATTTAATTGAACTCTGCAAACAGTTGAGCCACGATCAGACGGCACTAAACTCGGAAATGTCCAGGACTACTGCATGTTATAAGATGAAATATGGGCTCGCAAAAACTATTAAGGAAAATATCATTAAAACTTTAAAGGAGACTCCATTTTCTCTAAATTTGGATGAAAGTACTAGCAATGCTCAAGAAAGTATACTGGCAATATTGGTGCAGTTTTATGACAACAATTGAAATGAAGTTGTAGTTCATCATTTTGCATCTCTAAAGATGGAATCTTGCAATTCAGAAGCTGTTTTTAAAGCAGTTGTTAATACTATTGAAGATAATAATATTCCATGGGCAAACTTAATTAGTGTATTAATGGACTCATGTAACACCATGCGTGGAAAAAAAAAGGGTGTTGAAACCAGACTACGATCAAACAAAGCACCCCACTTATTAGATATTGATGGTGACACATGTCACACAGCTAATAACTGTGCAAAAAAATTTGCTTCATGTTTTGCTAGATGCTTAGAAGATTTGTTTGATGACATATATTTTGATATGAAAAGCTGCAGTAAAAAGAGAAAATTTTTTCAAAATCTGTGAATCCCTTGCCATTAAAAAACTTAAGCCTTTGAAGAGACCAGACCATAGGTGGGTGTACATTTTATGTGTTTTAGAAAGAATCAAAGATCTGTGGGATGCTCGTATTGCATTTTATTTTCACTACTTGGATAAAACTGATAAAGGGGATTATTTTTCTTATGTTGAAACTGTATACAATAAAAAAAAAGAAATATTTCTGCAGCTCAGAAAAAAATTGTTGAAGGGGTGTATTCTTGCTTGCATTCCCAACAACTCACAAGGATGCTTTAGCTCGGAAAAAAAAGAATACTAAATTGGGTTATTTATTATGCAAAACAAAACTTTATTGCATATGGCATTATATTCAGCAGTATTACCAGAGTTCAACACATATATTAAATTATTTGAAACAAAAAAAACCAGTGCTTCATTTAATACATTCCAGTATTTATAAATTGATGGCAAAATTTTTATCTTTTTTTATGAAGCCAGAAAATATAGAGTGCACATCTTATAATGATTTATTAAAGGTTGATGTCACAAATCCAGAATTCCATCTACCTAGCTAAGTAATATTTACTGGTGCAGAAGCTTCCACTCTCCTGAAGAAATTATCAAAAAATCATCCAATAGCAAAAGAATTCCAAATTTCTCTGATGAAAGCTTATACTAATACAGCACAGCATATGAAACAGAAATTACCCCTTAAAAATTCATATCTAATTAGTTTTACAGCATTAGATCCAGAGCTAAGAGGTAAAACCAGTACAATATTAGCTTTTGAAAAATTATCATCTTTTATGTCCCATATTTTTAGTGATAATGAAAAGTCAAAAGTAGAAGCTGAAATAAGGTTATACCAGAGTGATATTGATATCACCAAAGAAATGCTTTACACATCTGATGAAAGTGGAAATCAAGTCAAGTGTACAATTGATAAATATTGGTCTAAAGTCTTTAATTTAAAAGATGATTTCACAAATGATTATAAGTATCCTACATTGGCTAAATTGGTCAAAGCCTGTCTTAGCTGCTTCCATGGCCCATTAGTGGAAAGTGCATTCAACTTAATGGATACACTCGTCACTAACTATCTCTAGGCGAACCTCTCTTAAGATTGATTCCCTAGATGCAATGCAGACTATTAAATATGATTTAATGGCTTCTAAAGAAACCTCATGTGAAAAATATGGCTAAAAAAATCCAATGACTGATCCAATTCACAAAGCTCTCTTACTGAATATGAACAGAAGTTGGAAAACATATCAAGAGGACTTAAAAACATGTATTTCAGATGAGTCACCTATAAAAGTCTCTGAAAAACCTTCTACATTAGCAGAAAAGCAAACTGCTTCTACCTCTGCATGTGCAGTTCTTGAGGAAATTTCTTCAACTGTAAATGAGGAAAATACTAAAACAAGTCAACCTTACTGCAATTATGAAGTTCACCACAAAAGAAAGACAAGCCCACAAACATCAGAAAATAAAAAAAAAGCAGCAGAAATTAGATAATTTTTTTTAAAGAATTAATTCAGGTAATTTAAAATATTTACATTATATGTAGTAGTTTATATGTTTGAAAATTTATGGTTATTAATTTTGCAAAAAAAGTAATTCATTGAACTTTTACAATTAAGTCATTCAATACTTCATAATTGTAATTTTTCATTTCTCTCCCCCCTTCTCGAAACTCCAAAATATCGGTAGCAAGTCCGTAAAAGTTTCAGTGTATTTTTTGGGGTCCCACAAACACCCCTGCTTTCATCACACTTCAAATCATGTCATCTGATTAAACAGAAGTTAGCTTCATTTTATTCCTCCGTTTTTCATGCATTTCAAGTTTGCTTCTCCAAACTAGCTCTTAATCAAGAACTAAACTATTTAAAAGCAGTTGCTATTGACAGGGGTTTTTCACCCAACATTATTAACCAATAATTTAGAAAATTCTCATCTCAACACATCAAAAGGCACACTCTTGTTTTAGGAGATTATAAGAATTATCTTGTCTTTCCTTTCTTTTCATTGATTAACTATAAAATTGAACATATTTTACAGAAATTTAACTTTTATGTCGTTTTTCTCCTATCAATAAAATTCTCAGTTCCAGGACTAGTTGAGGACCCCAGTCCGGATATGAATTCCTGGAGTATTTACAGGATTCCTTGCCAGTGTGGTTTAATTTACATTAGTCAAACTAAGAGAGCCTCAAAATTTCATGTTAAAGAACATGAGGCATATGTTTGGAAAACGAAAACGCCACAATTTTCTGTTGCCCAGAACTGTTTGATCAGAAAATCACATTTTCCGTTTTTCTGCAGCCAAAGGTATTCAAAAAATATCTTCCGTTGGTGAATTAGAATTTCTAGAGATGTTTCATATTCAAAAATCTTTGTGTTCGAGTTAATAACCTTAATTCCAATCCATCTTTTCATCATAGTTTTCTTGTTTCATCAATAGATGACGCCAGTAGCTTAACTTCTTTTCAGCCATTCTTATCTTATCTTCTTATCACCATATCTTATCTCCTTCATTTGCACTTAGGCACCCGAAAAGATGGTTCTGTAGTTAAACCATCAAAACTAGTCCTGCAAAATTACAAGTATTACACTGATTTTGTTGTTTGACTTCTTCAATAATCATTACTCTGCATCTTATTTAACCTGAAATATAATATACTATTAATATAATAATAATGAAAATTTAATATGAATTTTTAAACTTTGATTTATTATTATATTTTTCTTTTTTCGGTTAGACGTGTGCAAATGCTTTTTTTTTTTTTTTTTTTTTTTGTTTCAATTGCTCATTTAATTTCTACACTATTTTTTGATAAATCTAGTTTTCTTATCGAATAAAATATAATGAACCAAATTTTCAGTTCCTTGAAGTTTGTTATAGTGGGATTCGATTGTATTTCAAAATTTTAAAAATCGAGCTTTTTGAACTTGTTATGCAGCAGCTTCTTATCTGGGTCTTATTGTAATTAAATCCAGAGTTTTAGCTTATTTTTGCATTTTAAATAAAAATGGATATATTTTTTAAATCCGTCTTTGTTTTTATTTCAGTGTAAGGAAATCGGAATTCCATTTGATGGTAAACTGAATGTTTGGGATCTGAGGTACTACATAACAAAAGTCGAGGAAAAGAAATATGTTGTGAATCAAAGCAAACTCAGGGAATATTTTCCCTTATCGGTTGTAACACAAGGATTATTGGATATTTATCAGGTTAATATATAGTTAATATATAGTAAGTGAAAGAAAATCTCATGGTTAAATAAAAGCCATTACAGTGAAGTTTTGTGCAAATGCATCATTTTAAAAATAAGACTTTATTTAAAAATTTTAGTCTTTTTGTATTTGTTTTATATAAAAGAATTTTGATTATATTTTAAACAGGAATTACTTGGACTAAAATTCAGAAAAATAGAGGATGCTGAAGCATGGAATGAGGATGTGCAGCTGGTAACATATAAAACAATTACTCTTGTTGTTCATCTGTTCTAGTTTGTTACTTTTTAATGATTTCATAATCTCCTTTTTTTTTTTTGGAGGTCAATGAGGTGAAATATAAAGTTGTATGCATTAATGTAAATTATATGAGGTTAACATGTATTGATTTCATTAACATCACTGGCCAAAATAATTCGTTTTTGCTTCTTAAATTAAAGTGAAAAAGACAATCCATATAAGCTTTTTTTTTTGGTGATTTCAAATGAGTTAATAAAACTTTTCTGTACTGAGGGCTTTTAGGTAATATCATGAGGAAAGAAAACAGTTACTGTAAATATGAGATAATTTCTTAAAAAGTGAAAGGAGGGGGGAAGGTCTAAAATTTTATCAGTTGCATAAAGGAGCTGTTAAAGTTTAATGTGATTTATCAGTAGGTATTATCCATAGAGATTTCTCAGGAGGAATACAGAAACATTTTAGAGGATACTAGATGAATAGACATTTAGATTAACATGAGAATGTTCTATAAGTTCTGTACATTTAAAATGTGAAAAAATATGCAACATAATTCTGTAAAAATATATACCGTTTTAAATAGATACATCATGAATTAAATGCATTTTTATTTAAAACCATTCCAATTAAAATATAAAGTATTAATATTTTGTAAATAGTTAGTTAATCCATAACAGACAGATACCGTTGGAAAGATAAGGATCTTACATTTTGTCAAATGGCAACAAACTCAAATGAAAATTGAAACTATGCATTGACAATGGATGACATGAAGTGAGTCAATGCAAAATTGTATTTCAATATATAATTCTTTTGGGCATCAAAAGAAAAAGAAAAAAACTGTGGATGTTAAAGAAAAGAAAATGCAATTTAATTTGATTTAATCTCTTTGCAGTCAGTGTACAGTGCTGATTCATGCATATTTCATATCCTTATTCATGTTATACTAGAACTTAGGTTAACAGTGTAACTTACATTGATTTTGTTTGTTTATACACTGCGCAAAAAAAAAAAAAAAGGGAAGACAGTTCTATATCTCCCATTCTACTGGGCTGATTGATGAAATTCAACTTGCATTTTACATGTCTCAAAAGCACGATATAGGATATGTATTGGATTTATATTGACACAAAATCGGACTTCTCAAATGGCATGCCAGGTTTTTTCCATATTTAACTTCTACAGCTCAAATTTTGCCGAACTACCAAATCGCAGTAGTTTTTAAAAAAATTAGATCTCAAAATTTTAGTTCCTCGATGTTAATTGAGTTTGGTATATATTTATTAATCTCTCTTTTTTTATTATACTTATTTGATTCTTCCTGTCACATTTCGAAATTCAAGTTCATTCCAAATAAAATTCACCCCTTTTTTTATTTATTTTTAAAATTTGTATTTTAAAATAATTTTTACAAATTTTCCAAAAAAAAAATTAATTATAATCTATAAAATTTTCACCATCATCTTAAAGTAGACGTATTTCTAAGCTTACATACAAAAATCCGAAGATATGCATGAATTTATATATTGGCATATTTTGAAATTTGGCATATTTGTTGAAAGCAATAAAACATCAAATGGTTTAGGCACTTTTTTAAAATTATTTGAAAGTAGGAATGATGTGACTTTTTTCCGCTCATGCACAATGTAAAAAGGCAGAAATGAGGTGCCCTTTTTTTTTTTTTTTTTTTTTTTTTTCGGCATAGTGGAAGGGAAAGGAAAATAAATTGCCATATATTAAGGCAAACTGAAAAAATTGCACCAAGATAAATTCTTGAATTTCTCTGCAAATTTTGCGCCAAATTTTACAAAATTTAATATCTAGGCATAATTTGAGTTGTAGAATGAAAATATGTAAAAAAATTGGTATGTTATTTCAGAAAAAGTCTGATTTGTGTGTCAAAATGCCTATATTAGAACAATGCTATATATAAATCTAATATATATCCTAAGTTGCGCTTTCGAGACATGGAAAACTCAATTTGAATTTTGTCAGTTAGCCCAGTAGAACGGGAGATATAGAACTGTCCACTTTTTTTCCCCCGCAGTGTACATCTTTATTGTTTGATGTTAACTGGTATAAAAAGTAAATAAGAATCAGCATAAATTAACCTGGTCACTAGTGATTTTAAGTTAACTATCTCTTATGTACTGATTACAAATATGTGTGCTTATTATAAAAATGAAACGAAAACCAAATATATAAAGCAAATACCAGTTAATGCCATTGTAATACATGTTATCATTTAGATACTGTTATCGAATTCACAAAATCTGGTTTATTTTTATGCGAAATCACCATAAATTATCCTGGTCACTAGTGATTTTAAGTTATTTCTTATGTACTGATTACAGATATATGTGCTTATTACAAAAATGAAAAGAAAATCAAATATATAATGCAAATCCCACTTAATGCCATTGTGATAAATGCTATCATTTAGATATTGTTATCAAATTCACAAAGGTCTGGTTCGTTTTAATATGAAAACGTGGGGAAAACATCACGTAGTGTGATCAACAATTTGGTTAAGATTTTGGCACAGTAAGATTTATTTTTACTTCTCAAATTTAAAACTTAATGTTCATTTAAAAGGAATTGATGAAAATACTGTAGTTTTTTTAAAATGAAACTAAATAGCAGTTTATATTAGTGTACATTTTAATATTTCATTCTAAAAAAATATAACATTTTAGTTTAGTGTTGAAGATTCCAGTGATGAGAAGCTTCTGGGCTATTTCTTTTTAGATCTGTTTCCACGAATGGGAAAATATGGCCATGCTGCTATATTTGAGTTGCAGGTATGTATCCAGAATGCTCATCTTTGTTAAAATTTCATACTTTTTATGTCAGCTGAATCTGTACCTTAACCTCTGCATTTCTTGCATTTTGTTGTGTTACTTTATGCCAGACCTAGGGATTCTAATACAATTAAGCTGGTAAATTATGAAAATTGGCATAAATTTTTTCTGATAAATATTTTTTTTTTTTCAATAAATAATGGTGACTATTACAGCAAGAGCTGTGTCTAATGCAATATACCACTTTTAGTTAATTATTTGTTTTTTAGGTGGCAAGATTGAAATTGGTAGTTGTTTTAATCATTTCTTTTTCCCATCATTTTATCACACATTCAAATTAAAAAATTGTGTTTTAATGATATCATTTAAATAAATAACTAATTAAACAGTAAATAAATAACTAAATTAATATATTTCATAAAAAATATACTCAATCAAATTCTGATGGCATTTTCTCATCCTTATTAAAACTACCTAAGATTCGTAAGGTAAGTCTAAGATTAACATAAGACTCTACTGCCTAATAGGTACAGATCGCTTTATTCGGTTATTTTCACAATGGAGTTCATTTTGTATCTAAACTGAAAGTCACATTTTCCCATTTGGGCAACTCTCCTGCCTCTCCTCTACATCTGGGCAAAGTTAATAAAGTAATAAACATCAAACATTAAATAATAAATAATAGTTGATAATTCTTTGATCTTTGTCAAGGAACAGATGAAAGAATTATCAGTAGAACCACATTTCTGAATTCTGTCTGGATAAATGGCAAAAGAAAATATTCAAAGAAGTTCTGTTTTAAGTTTGAAGCAAAAGTAATTAAACGAGAATATGTTTATATAAAATTCATCAAAATTTTTAGAGAAGATTTTTAAAGAAGATGAAAAATAAATTTAAAGAAATTTTTAAAAAATAACCATCGAGATATAATCTGTGTTGGCATTATCTGGAGGAAATGCACATAATGTACAAAAAATAATTAAATAAATTAAACAGTTGGAGAAAGACAATAAGTTTTGAAACAAGGGAAAGAAAATTTAATTAATTTTAAAGCAGTTAGAATGCAAAAATGGAGAAATGGACATAAGGTAGTAAGTAATAAGTTAGTCAGGAAAACCAAAATTACCGAAATGTCAAAATTGCTTCAGCTTTGCAAATATGGAAATCCAAAGTAGTAGTGAAAAGGTAAATCACCAAGTCATCAAAAAGTATTTATGTGTCAACCCAGGTATGTGTGTTACACAGGTGTATTTGAGTACACATGGATCTGCACTTTTCGAATTTGGTGGTCATTTTTCCAATTGGCATTTCTTTTTGCACTCAGTACACTTTTTTTTTATTGTAACCATTTAAAATGGATTTCTGGAGTTTGCCAGCTGATGGTGAAGAAAATTTTGCATTTCTTTGGAACTATGGTAGAACAACAGAAAATGTGAAAGTTCTATTGAAATAGATAATTTCCAACAATGGAAATGCAAAAATTTGTATTCAGTGGAGTTGTACTTCATTAATGAGGAAATTTTATGGAAATGCAGTGGGAAAAAATTTCAAGTAAGCTGTTAGAAAATAGATCAGGAATCTGTTCGAAGATAGCCAAATCTCATTTACCACAGCAGTTCGTTTTATTTATTGTTGTACAAAGGAATATAAGTCAATGGAATTCTGTGAAGAAGAGTTGAGATTACCTTTACACATGACTATGTCATTATCACTGAGATCTTATGGCATTATCTCTGAGAAGTGCACGTTTTCGCTTGGCGGGGGGCAAAAGTTGCATAATCAGTTTTAAAAAATTCTGTTATGGCCAGCATATGACCCATTACCGATTTCATGTTTTAAATAACAGCAAGCTTTAAGTAAAATGTCACTTCCTGTTGATTATTTGGAAACAAAATCTAATTGGTTGTTTCAATCTATAGAAAGGTTTGTAATATTGTAGCGAAAATCGCTCTTTTCGACCGAGCTCCTCATAGCTTAGCGGAGAAGACGCAGGACTCATAACCTGAAAGTACCAGGTTCGAAACCCATCAACGGCAAGATGCCCGATAATTGGTTTTTAAGTAAATATCCTTGTTGTTAATGTTATCTTATTTATGTAAATTTCCTTCTTATTCTTCCAGAACATTCCAAGTCTGGAATGTTTCAGCATGTTCACCAGCTGTATATAAGTAGCTCTTCATTCAGTTCTAGTTAATAAAAAGTCTTGAGTTTAGACTTGTACTTGCCTGTTCATTAGTAGGATCCCCTCATCTACGCGACAGTTTGGGAGGCGCCGGGTATTTCTCAGTTACTACGGCAGTGTTACGCCGAAGCCTGCGGATTCGAGGACTTCCTCCTGAGTTTGGGCTCTTACAGGATTCGCGTACTAAAAGATCGACCAAAGATGGTTGGATGAGAAGGAATCCGAGCAGAATTCTCCAGCAGCCAGTTCCGCTTCAAGTAATATCGCACCAATACCGATCCTGACGTACCAACTACCCAGAAGCCGTGTATATTCAGCGGGGATAGCCAAGAAGACACTAATAGATGGCTCAAGGACTTTGATCGAATCGCCAACTATAACCCACTGGGATGATCAAATGTGTCTGGCGAACGTCATTTTTTACCTTGGCGGAACCGCTCGACAGTGGTTCGATAATAATGAAGATACATTTACCAGTTGGACTGTTTCAAGACTGCTCTTAAGAACACCTTTTTCCGAGCAGCTGATGTAAAGCGCCAAGCTGAACGAGTACTACTGACACGTGCTCAGCAAATCGATGAGACGTCTGAAGCATACATTCAAGATGTTCTCGCTCCTCTGCCGGAAAGTAAACCCATCTATGTCTGACGACGAAAAAGTGGCCCACCTCATGAAAGGTATTGCTGAAGATTTTGTACCAGGTCCTGTCGTCCCAGGACTATGACAGCGTCGATGCCTTCGTGTGAAACGCTGCCGTCACATAGAAAGCCTTCGACGAAGACGTATCGCCCGATCACGATTCCAGAGGCTGCCTAATGTCTCCGCGGTCTCGGCCGATGCGGACGCCAGTGAACTAAAGTCTATAGTGCGCACCATCGTCAGAGAAGAGCTTCAGAAGGTCCTTACGCAAGTTCAGGGCTACACGGAAATAGAACCCGTAGCACCGAATGACATAGCATCTTGTGGTCCGGGAAGAGGTTATAGAGGCGCTGGCACCACTCACAGGATTAGGGAGAAGCAAAAAAAAACACTACCCAATGTTCACTTCCAGTTAGGTCGCAACCAAGACGTGAAGCCAGCCAGAGAACTGCTCCACAACGTAGGACAGATCTGTGGAGGACTGACGATAATGTACCTCTCTGTTTTCATTGCGGACGCCCAGGACATGTTCTGAGGTACTGTAGGGAAAGACGCCAGATATTTGAAAATGCAAGAGCCGCAAAGACGTCCAACCCTCGACGGGACAGGGACACTGAATCTACATACAGCTTCGACGACGAATATGCACAACCTAGTTCTTCCCGAATAAGGAGCAGTTCACCTTATCCGCGACGCTCTCTCAACCGCCGACAATCGCAGTCACCAGTACGCCGGTCCAGCCGTTCCCCACGCCGAACCAATGAGGAAAACTAGCTCAAGCGACCTGTACAGGAGGTGAGGCCGCAGTTGAAGAAAATCCTCCGACGTACACCACAGCCAAGTTGGAAAAGAATAACACTTTTATCACCGTGAACGGACAGTGTGTGAAAGCCCTTGTTGACTCGGGTGCCGATTATTCTGTCATATCTGAAACAGTTACGTCGACAGCTAAATGCTCCTATGTTTGCTGAGAATGGACCTGTATTGAAAACTGCCTGTGGTAAAACTGTAGCTGCCTCGGGACGCTGTGTATTGAAAGTTGATTTGAATGGGACTAAGAAGCCGTTTTGAATTCCTTGTTTCCTGAATGTAGTCATCAAATGATACTTGGATGGAATTTTTCCGTGCCACCGATGCCGTTATCGATTGTGGAAATCAAGAAACTTACACTTGCAGAAATCCTTCCAGACATTGAATATTTAAATAAGTCACAGCTCTCCTTGTTTGCCGCAACCGATTATGTAATTGAAGCAAACACCGCAAAGCGAATAGTGCCTTGAATTCAGAGCTACGGGAAGCAGATGAAGCTATGATTGTTGGAAATAGAGTTCTTATGTGCGAAAAAGAACTATCGATACCAGCCTCAATTGTCACTATAGAGGATGGTTGTGGTAAATTATGGGTAACTAATTGTTCTCGACGAACCCAACTGATACCGAAAGGGATGAATGTCGGCTATTTAACGACCATAAAAAGCGACGCTATTTGCTCCCTCAGTGATCAGGCTCCAGCAGGTTCCAAGGGACATAGGTCCAGGAAAAGGTTATCTCAAGAAAACTTAAAAGAGATTTTTGATACTGATTTGACCAATGCTGAGGAAGACGAGCTATTGAGTCTACTAGATGAATTTAGTGACATTTTTGACTTTAACAGTATTGCGAAAAAATCCCGATGCAATTCGGTGAAGCACAAGATTGATACAAGTGACAGTGCACCAATCAAACAAAGGCCATACCGTGTGTCAGCCACTGAGAGGCGTGTGTGTGATTGCAGACGAAGTGCAACGAATGCTAAAAGAAGATGTGATACAACCATCAGATAGTCCATGGTCATCTCCAGTCGTGCTTGTGAAGAAGAAGAAAAAATGGTGAATGGCGTTTTTGTGTCGATTACAGAAAATTGAACAAGGTAACTAACTAAAAAGGATGTCTATCCATTACCTCGCATCGATGATGCTTTGGACTGCCTGGCTGGTGCAAAACTTTTCTTTATGATGGATCTGAAGTCAGGCTACTGGCAAATAGATGTTGATGATAAAGACAGAGAAAAGACAGCTTTTGTGACTCCAGATGGTCTCTATGAATTTAAAGTCATGCCGTTCGAATTATGCAATGCTCCAGCCACATTTGAACGGATGATGGACACGGTACTAAGAGGTCTCAAATGGAATATTTGTCTTTGCTACCTCGACGACATAATCGTGTACGCACCTAATTTCGAAGAAGAACATCAAAAGCGTTTGAGGGAGGGAAATACTGAAATGTATCCAAAGAGCAGGACTGACGCTAAATTCCAAGAAATGTTCATTCAGCAAAAAGAAACTGACTATACTGGGACACTTAGTCGATCAACATGGGATATATCCCGATCCACAAAAGGTAGAGGCTGTAGCAAAGTTCCCTGTTCCGAAAAATATCGCCGATGTCCGAAGTTTTCTGGGCTTGTGCTCCTACTACCGGACGATTTATCCAAAAATTTCGCAGATATCGCAAAGCCCCTGCATGACTTGTTGAAGAAAGATGCAAAATTTTCTTGGAACGCGTTACAGATTTGAATCTTTCGCAACGCTCAAAAGGCTGCTGACCAGTGGCACTGTTTTTGGACATTTTATTCCAGACGCAGAAACCAGGATACATTCTGACGCTAGCGGCTATGGCATCGGTGCAGTACTGGTTCAGATCCAGGATGGCAAAAAGAAAGACCAATAGCCTATGCATCCAGGTCCCTTAGTGCAGCTGAAAGGAATTATTCCACCACCAAAAAAGAATGCCTTGCCGTCATCTGGGCAATTAGTAAATTCAGGCCATACCTCTACGGAAAACCCTTCACGGTAGTCACAGATCACCACTCTTTATGTTGGCTGGCCAATGTTAAGGATCCATCCGGAAGACTTGCACGGTGGGCTCTCAGGTTGCAGGAGTACGACATAAATATCGTCTACAAGAGCGGTCGGAAAGCACTCCGATGCAGATTCACTATCGAGAGGAAGCCTCTTATAGAACCAATAATTGAGAACAATGAAGACATCCCTTTCTTTGCAGCAATCGTAGATTACGGAAAAAGAGCAGCAGAAGGACAAACGATTAAAATCCATCATTACAACTCTCAAGAGAGGTGACGCATATCAAAAAATTATCAAATAAAAAATGGTATACTGTACTGCACAAAAGAAGCTATGACCCTGTGGGACAGCAGTGGCTCTTGGTGGTACCAAAGCAACTTCGTAGCGAGGTTCTAAGAAGTCTTCATGATGCTCCAACCGCTGGCCATCTCAGATTTGCCAAAACGTACGACCGAATAAGGAGGAAGTACCATTGGCCAGGGCTATATGGAAGCACACGGCGGTATGTATCACACTGCCGAGAATGCCAAAGACGGAAATCACCGCCGCAACGTCCACCAGGACAGCTTCATCCGATAAAACCTCCTCACACACCGTTTACAAAAATTGGAATAGATTTACTTGGACGCTTTCCTGTTACTCGAAATGGGAACCGGTGGATTATAGTTTGCACAGATTACCTTACCAGATTTGCAGTCACAAAGGCAATACCGACAGCTGAGGGCACTGAAATTGCCAAGTTTATAGTTGAAGAAATTGTACTGAAGCATGGTGCCCCCAAAGAAATGATAAGTATCCGAGGACGCAACTTCCTATCCAATCCAATGTTGTTAAAGAAGTAATTCATCTATGCAAGATGTCTCATCTTCTGACGATTGCTTATCACCCTCAGACCAATGGCTTAACTGAAAGATTTAATAACATACTGGCAGACATGTTGTCCATGTACATAGAAGTTGAACAGAAAAAAATGGGATACTATTCTACCATTTGTAACCTATATGCCTATAATTCAGCCAAACAAGACACAACGGGATTCAGCCCATTCTTTCTCATTTATGTCAGAGATATCCAGACTCCTCTCAACGTAATTTTCCCATACAGTATCGAAGATCCCGAAGATAGTTATGCGCAACATCTGATCACTAGAGCTGAAGAAGCTAGACAGCTTGCAAAACTCCATATTCTTAAAGCGCAAACCACAGACAAGCGCCGATACGACGAGGGACATCGACCTGTAAGTTACAACATTGGAGACTTTGTCTGGGTCTTCACTCCAGTGCGAAAGGTTGGGTTATCCGAAAAGCTTCTAAGACGTTACTTTGGACCGTATCGAATAACACGACAGCTCTCTGACGTGACGTACAAAGTAGAAAGTATGGAACAAAATAAGAAACGATGGAATTCAAAAGACATCGTTCACGTGTTGAGGTTGAAGCCCTATCTTGATCCGAAAGTACAACTAGACGATGAGAGAAAGCCCAGTATTTCCAGGAGACCTGTTACAAGAAGCCAGACCAGAACGCAGCGGGACGCTGCTTCTTTCTAAGAAGGGGATAACGTAGTGAAAATCGCTCTTTTCAACCGAGCTCCTCATAGCTTAGCAGAGAAGGCGCAGGACTCATTAACCTGAAAGTATCAGGTTCGAAACCCATCAACGGCAAGATGCCCGATAATTGGTTTTTATGTAAATATCCTTGTTGTTAATGTTATCTTATTTATGTAAATTTTCCTTCTTATTCTTCCAGAACATTCCAAGTCTGGAATGTTTCAGCATGTTCACCAGCTGTATATAAGTAGCTCTTCATTCAGTTCTAGTTAATAAAAAGTCTTGAGTTTAGACTTGTACTTGCCTGTTCATTAGTAGGATCCCCTCATCTACGCGACAATATGAAATTTTGGATTATATTTAATTAGGTATAATTGGTCGTGTGTAAAAATTGATTTTTCTAAATTTATATCAACATACTCAAATGTTTGCTCATTTCTTCTTTTTTTTTTAAATTATATTATTGAACCATCAAATACCATATAATTTAATTGTTTTTTAAATTAAAGAAAACTAAGTTATTTAAAATAAGTATAAATGCAATATGCTTAAAATAAGAAATGAATACCATAGTTCCGTTTTCTTTTGTGTTGTTTCTATCATATCAATTAATCTAAATTCATTTTGATCTGCATGTAGTAAACAAGACTTGTTCACCTGCAACAATATGTTGTTATTTATACAGGGTGATTCTAAATTGTTTTTACAAATTAAGAGGGGGGATAATATTCATCCAAATGAGCAATAATTACCATGGAGCATAGGGTTGTATTCCTCTCTGAGAGCCAGAAAAGAGGAATATTAGAATTCCAATCCTAATTTACATCAGTGTTAGGAAAGCAAATGAAGGAAACCAAAAGTTGCACAATCAGTTTAGTGAAAAACTCACAGAGAGTGCACAAAATGAATAAAATCGAAAACTTGACATCCGAGTGTTAATGTGAGCTTAGACTTTGATGGCAAACACTCAAATGCACATCTTTGGTTTGCAAGGTCTCAACCTCACAAACAATTGCAACAAGTGAATTATCTAATCAAGGGCTGATTATTATCAACTAACTCAAGGTAGGTTTGATACTATCAAGATAGCAGTTTTTTCCCCTTTGCCATCTTTTATTCTGTACTCCTGGACTTATTATGCTGTGCACATTTTACTTGAAGTGCCTTTCTATGGTCAGGATGTTCTGACAGCCAGAACACAGCATGAAACTTTCATTCTAATCTTGGCATACAGCGGAAGTTGCAGTTATTTGATAATATTCAGCCCTTGATTAAATAATTTACTTGTTGCATTCGTTAGTGAAGTTGAGACCTAGCGAACCAAAGATGTGCATTTGAGTGTTTGCCATCAAAGTCTGAGCTCGAATTAACATTCAAATGTCAAGTTTTCGATTTTATTCGTTTTGTGCACTCTCTGTGAGTTTCACTAAACTGATTGCACAACTTTTGGTCTTGTTCATTCGCTGTCCCAACACTGTCGTAAGTTAGGGTTGGAATTCTGGAATTCAACCCTATGTTCCATGGTAACTATTGCTCATCTGGATAAATACTATCATCCCTCTTAATTTTTAAAAAGAATTTAGAATCGCCCTGTATGTGCAAAAGTATGTTATTTTGATCGTTTCAAAACTGTTATGGGTTTCATATACCACTTCTGGTAGTCCAATTTTACCTGAAGTTTAATTAACTCTCTATATAAATGCAAAAAGCTTAAATTCAAAAATTAGAAATTTTTGGAAGTTTGATATACAGGGTTTGGGATCCTGCCATTGAGAAAAGATGCACTTGAAAAACAAAATCACTGCACACATACACGCAGACATTATTCTAAAAAGAATGAAAATCTGTTGTGGGAATAAACACAAAAAAACTAATTTGTGTTTATTCTCTGATAACTCCCTATCAGATTTTTGGATCAAAAGCCTTTCCACCCTTACCTATTTATATAGGTTGGCGGGAGATAAAAATAAACAAAACTAGATTCATTATTGAAATAGCCATTGGGATATTCAAACAAATGTTTCTTTCCAAAGTTGCCAATAAGTTCATGAATGCTTTCCATATTTGCCTATCTATAAATTACTGATATGACATATAAAAAATTTGAATCGCTTATCAGAATTTTTCACATTAATCGCCGTTGTTTATCCTTTTTCCAAAGTTGCATACTGTGACTTTTTCTGATGCCCGGATCCTGTAACTTTGAAAATACACTCTATGCAATTCCAAATATTAATCTTTTTTTTTTTTTTTTTTTTTTTTTTTTTTTTTATTGCAAGGAAAAAATAGAATTTATTGTCCTTCTTTAAAAAAATTAAATTGTCTTATTGAGCATTAATCAATTTACATTAAACCGAAACGAACTTATGATTATGTTTGGATGTCATGCTTAACCATTATTGGTGCTAAATCACTCTGTATGATGACAATGTATATGTGTTAATAGCATTGCAAGTTCTATCATGGTGTTACAAATCTCTCTTTTACTGAATTTTTCGGGACAAATATTATTTCAAAATTCCAAAATGTTGTCTATAGTTGAATGCCGAATAGTCAGGCTTTTACTGTGCATAATAATTTAAAAAATATTTGTACCCTTTTTGTAATTATTAAAAGGTATTTGTAATTCATTATTGTGCATATTTCACTACAGAAAAATCATTAATTTGCTGTCTAGCAATAATTTTTTTAATGCTATATGATGTGTTTGGATTAATTTTTAATGATTGTTTTTATGTCTTTTCCAGCCTAGTTGTCTTTTGCCTGATGAAACACGGCAAATAGCTGTTTGTGCAATGGTTGCAAACTTCAGCAAGCCACAGCTAGACAAACCATCATTATTGGATCATAATGAGGTAAATGACATTTAAACTCTTTTGTACATGTCTTTTAAAATTTTTATTGTATTCTATTTAAAGGTGAACATCCAAGATAATTTATTTTATATTTTGTTGCATTTATCCAAATACTTTGACATGTAATTATTTTCAATGGCAAAAATAATTTTTCTTAATCCTTCTTCCTTTTGTATATTTTCAGGTAGTTACATTCTTTCATGAATTTGGGCATGTTATGCATCACATATGTTCTCAAACAGATTTTGCTCATTTTAGGTGAGTGAATGTTGTTTCAGTCTTTCAGAAACTACCACTTACTGTATTTTCCAACATATATGCTGATGCATTGTAAAAGTCCACCTGCAGATTTTATCCAAATAACTGTTAAAAATTTAGATACTGCAAATGTCTGATTATCTGGCATTCAACTAACTGGAAGGCTCAAGTAACCGAAATGTTTTGTTTAAAATTTTCTTTTTTAACAAAAGACACAAATGAGAGACTTGTAAAGGCCGTATAAAGAACATGTAAGACTGCTACTCAGAATCAAACATATAACATCTAAAATGTGAATACAATTGCACAGCAGTCTTTCACAATATGTTTCTATCCCATTACCACAGTTGCATCCTTCCAACAATTTGTCATCTGAGCTTGTTTCTTGTCAAGTCATTTTCAACAAACATAAACTGTCATCAGATATTACGACATCATAAACAATCAAAAGATCTTTGCTGTGCAGCACATTAATTTTTGATGAGCCGATTTAGTTTTTATAATGAAGAATATAAGTCAACTGCTACATATCTGTCTTTACTTTTCATTTTAAAATTGATTAAAATTTGAAAGCTGCCTTTTTTTGAATAACAAGCAATCAAGTACTTTCAAAGGTTTGGGATGCTGCCATTGAGAAAAGATGCATTACTGGGACACAATATGTGACTTTATTTGAAAATGGGTGAACAGTGGAGATGTAACAGGAAAAGTTAGAATGAAAAATTCAAATTTTATACATACTATATTTGTTGATTATTTAATTAAATAAATAATATTGTGTTCTTTCAAATTTTTGACAATATGGTTCTGGGTGGTATCTCCGCTAACTTTTGTTCTTGATGAGATTTCATAAAAGGTTAAAATATTTTATATGTTTAAGGCCTATAAAATATATTGGCTTTCATGTCTGAAATGCCCTTTTTTTTAAATGGAATCCTACATAATTTTTAAATGTATTCACTATTGATAATAAGTAAAATTACTGTTTTTATTAATTTTAAACTATAGATTTCTTTTTGTATTAATTTTACTTTATATTGTGAATTTATCAACTATCTGGAATTGTCATGTATACAATATGTGAAATTTCTCATACTTTCCAGATAGTTGAGTTTTATAATATATCCAGCCTATAAATTTATTCTAATTGCTAAGCATTTAGAAAATGTGGTGTGTATGTGAAACTTATCAAAAGTTAAAAAAAGGGATGGAGAAAAACAAGTACATTAGAAAGTATGCCAAAATTAAAATATACTTTAAATACAGGTAAATACCACTCTTAAACATTGAACATTTTAGCCTGGTCCGAATGTTAAAAATTTTAGGGGTACTGTTGTATAGCTAATTTACTATTACTAGCTATAGTTGTATAGCTAATTTACAGAATGAAAAAAATAAATGATGCAAGAGCTGTATATATCTATGATTTAAAAATAAACCAGTTTTTAAAAAAAGTGTGGTTATCTGCATAATCTAATCATATCTTCATTTAAAAATTATTTTAATAGTACAGTAGGTCACCTTTTCTTTATTTCTTTCCTAAAATTTTCATAGAATAATTTGTTTCAATTTTTGTAAATAAGACTATTTTTTTAGCATTTTATTTTAAGTGATAAATATATAATTAACCATTTTTATTCAACTAACTGCTCACATGGCTGGCTCACCCAGAACTGTCATTAAAGAAAAGAAAAACTATGATTTTAATGAGTCCAGCTAATGTTATTTCTTAAAAATATTTAATATTTTTAATTAGATATATCATTAATTAAGTACATTTTTATTTCAGTCAGATTAAAAAATAAAACAATATTATTGAGAACTGCATTTATTTTTAAATCACTTAGTTTGTTGATTGATAACAGACAAATTGAATTTGAAAGTTTAAAGTCATATAATGAGTTAAATGTCATATATTTTGCCAAATGGCAACACACATTCCTCTCTTATTGATTTCATTAATTATATGTTATATGTTTGTATGATTAAAACTAATTTTTTATAATATTCTAATGCAGTGGTACGAATGTTGAAAGAGATTTTGTTGAAGCCCCATCCCAAATGTTGGAAAACTGGTGCTGGGAAAGAGAGCCACTGAAAAGAATGTCTCAGCACTTTTTGAACAAAAGCGAGTTGCCTGAGGATTCCATAGATGCCTTGTTGAAATCGCGGCTTGCCAATACCGGTTATCATAATTTACGTCAGATTGTCTTAGCAATGTTTGATTACAAGATTCATACAAATCCTGAGGTCAGAATTTAATATTTTTGCTTGGAAATATTATGTGTAATTTTAGTAAAGTGTTTTACAATATTTTTTTATCTTTGAAACAATTGCAATGTATTGTCTAAGTAACATTAGTGGTCTCTCATGTGGCAGTCCTCTATTTTTCTTCATCTGCCTGATCTTTTATGTATTAGCTGTTTGTGTTAAATCCTTCATTATAGTGAAATTGCATGTGCATTTTTAAGATCATATTTCATTTGCAAGTATGCTAACTCTTTTCAGTGTGCTATTGACTGAAAAAGAGTGAGAGGTTTTTATAATGAGCCAGTTTCTTTTAGAAAACACTCAAGGAAGGCGTACTTTTCCACATTCAGATAGCCCTCGTGTGCTTTGCCATATTCAGGTAGCCTTTTTTTATGCAAAAAGGAAATTCTCTTACATACTAGACCAAGGGTTCTCAACTGGGGGGTTATTGTCTGTAGGGGGAAATATCATCCTTTCGAGGGGGGATGAGGTCAGCCATTTATTTAGCTTTTAAGTAATTAGTTTTACTTATTGAATTTAAAAAAACTACTTTTTATCGAACTTTTGATATTATCCAACATTTTCTATATTTTGTATTTTTTAATTGTATATTTTTAATTCTTTTTTTAACTGTATAGGTTAACTCTTTGTGGTGCATTACACTTTAAAGTCGGTATTTCAACAAGAAATGTTGTATGCAGTCTATCTAGGCCTAAAGGAGTATACAAATAAAATTTTGTAAAAATTGCACTTACCGTTCCAATTCTTTGGGTGTTCCATGAGGTGGAACACTGCGCCATCAGAGCTCTTAAAAGTGTGACTAAGCGAGCATTGCAGTGAAGCACGGAAATTAATAGAAGCTTATGTATAGTAATGAAAAAAAATAATGTATTATGACTGTATACAGGTATTTCTGGATATACACAATATTCTTGAATATATGTGGATAAATGAGATAAATATATATATATATACACAAGTCCTATATACAAAAATATTTACAAATTTTTCGATTTCATAGCTTCGTGAAATTTTCAAAGCATGTCACATCTTTTCGATAGAAGCACAAACCAACTTTGCAAGTTTTGAACAAAAAACTTGTTTTGTGCGGCTTCTGTTCCATACAACAATATGTTTAGAATTCCAAGTAAAAAGAAAGAGAAAAAGAATTCCTGCTATTTATGGAAAGTTAATAATAAGAAAATCAATAATAAGAAATTAACTGCAATTAATATTAACAATAAAGAAAAATAAGCTATAAGATACACATACACAAAAAATATCTACACAATTATTGTAAATAAATGGGAATGAAACTAAAAAGCGACAACAAAATAATTCACGCAGCTCCTCTAAGTAAAGATGACTCAAGCTACTGATAAAATCCCCACCTGAAAACTACTCACAAAGGTTTCATTTCAAGGTGCCAATATTAGGGCTTTCATAGCACAAATCACACTTCACCCCTCAAGACTGCTTTGTTTGAATTCATTTCCCCAAAACAACGTAATTAGAAAACATATACAACAGATGTTTCCTCCTAAGACTGATGTTCTGATGCATAATAGCATGAGATCGCTAAAGGTGAAGTGTTCCCGCTAATGGAACACCCCGTTTTATATAATGATTCTGCGCATGCTTTTTGTATGAAAAATATAAAAAAATATATAACAAATAATATAGAGTACAGCCATCAAAATTATATGGAATTTTTTTCAAACAATTTTTGTTTGCGTCACAAAAAAATAAAGAAAATTACTAGAAAATAAGTGCATTTTTTAATAACACATCATAAATGAAAATTCTGGGTCTCCTTGTGATATGCTGCCATCTACTATTTAAAAAGAGAAGTTTGAAGTATATTATAAAGGCATTTTTATCCATTTACAGTTGAACTTAACAGTGCCAAAAAAGAAATGTAAAAATTATGGAAATTAGTGTACTGAATCAGAAATTCCTTTTTTATCTTTTGTTGACAGGAAGAAAAGACATTAGTGAAGTAATATGAGAAACAATAAAATATTTGTGATAATAAGACCATTGATCGGAATAACTTTATGAGGAAAGCATATCAAAAAGACATTCACTCTACCATGCTGAAGACCTGAAGAAATTGTCGAAATTGACCAGATAGTTGTTTTATGCAGGAAATCTATCATGGAAAGGTTTTAGCTAAGAAATGAGTATTTGAGAGCCTGAGGTGAAGACACAAGAACAATTTTCGTTTGAAGTCTTTAACAGATGCCAAAACCATTTACAAAATATGTCATTTGGAGTTCTATCTTGCTGAATTTATTTGACAAAAGTATAAAGACCTAAATTGTTTTAAACAAGTTGTTGCAATAATTGCTGAATTATGGCTATAAAAAAATTCTTGTATTTAGTTTGGCAATGCTTTGGTGAAGTGGTTAGTCTAGAGCAGTGTTTCCCAACCTTTTTTGTGCTATGCCCCACCTAATCCTCTCTAAAATTTTTAAGCTTTCCCTAGCATATACATAATTTTTAATATTTAAAAATTGAAATTTTCACGAAAGAAACTTGAATGATAGCTTTTAGGCAGAAATGACTAAGAAATTTTGTGAGCAAACACAGTAAGTGAACTTTCAAAACATGGAGAACTGAAATTCAAGAAAAACTCATTTTAGAGAAATTTTTTTATTTTAAGTATTAGTACAGTCAAAAGTCATTAATTTGGACACCCATAATCTGGAATGATCTATAATCCGGACCTCAAAGCTACAAACTTTCTGCGCATGCGTCAACGCGCGTAAGACCTTTATGGCTGCTAATATGCGTGTGCGCATGCCTAAAATACATTTACGCATGCGCGTTTAATGTGTAACGGACGGTATGAGGTAAGCTAAAATTATCTAATTCAGTTAATGTTGCAGATTGCTTTGTTCCTTAATCTTTGAATTGGATCCATCTTATTATTTTTTGCAGACTGTTAGAGCAATTTTATAAAAGTAAGCTTGAACTTTCAATTATGTCAAATAGAATTTCTGATATATATTTACTAATATGTAAAGGATCTACAAAGCGAAAGTATGTTTCGAAGTCCATTAAACAAAAAGTGGAATTGCTGCAAAAAATGGATAAAGGCATATCCTTTGTTTATCTAACCATTCCGAAATCTGTTTATCAATTTCACGCCGCTCTGCAGCGGGGGGACGCCACGGCGTGCAATGAATTGGAAGTTGATCTGTCAGCACTATCCTTATCTTCAGGGCAGATGTTTTTATTTTATTTGGCTTATAATTCCTTACTAAATGTAGTATTTCATCTCGATGTACTCCGTCTTTGATATGATTTAAATCAAATTCGAAGAAAGTAAAGTAAACAAATAAATATTAAGCTCTTTTTTTTTTTTTTTTTTGTTGTTGTTGTAAATTTTGATACCCTTTAGATCATAATTGTTCTTTATTTCATAAATTACGGTTTCATATTTTTAATTTTATAATTTCTGGATGCCATCTTACCAGATTTAAACTGATAATCTATAATCCGGAATCACCGAAGTCCCGACGAGTCTGGATTAACAACTTTTGACTGTAATAAATTTAGAGAGTTCCTTGCGTTTGATACTTGCTGCAAAGAAATTTTATGTCAGGTTCCAATTTAGATAACTTGAGTCTCAAGTCTCCCGGTTTTCATTATATCCAACCGCTGTCTTTCTTTTTTTTTTTTTAAGCAGCAAATCATTTATGGCACTAAATCCGCATTCAACAAAATATGAAGATGGAAACGGTAACAATAGTTCTCTTGCAAATTTTGTTGCATTTGGATATCTCATTCTGGTTTCCTCACAAAGCTATGTCATCACTCCTTTTATATTAAACAAAGTTTTAATTGACTCATCATTTTGCATTTCTGTGAGTTCTTCTTTTTACTGCATATTTGAAATATCAGCCAAATCCACTAGCATTGGCTGCATCATCCAAGTTTGAAAATCAATTTGTTTTAAGTTACAAAATCTTTTAAATCAGCCGATAAAATTTTCAGATGATCGACAATAACAAGTATAGTGGTATCAATAACAAGTATGACGGTAGTCACGTCACATTTTTGGAGCCAATGAGACTTTTCAAAATTTGTGGTAAATAGTATGTCTGACATAATTCAACAAAGATAATGAAACCAAATATCTTCCTTTTCCATTGTAAGTTTTATTTGCTCCTTGAAGTTGTTTATTTAATATATTTAATTTTTCAAAGATATTGGCTAAATAACTCACAATTGCCTTGTTATCATCCGTTAACGGATTTTTCATTTCAGGTTTGTCGCTTAAAAAATATCTAAGAGTATCAAATAGTTCCATAAATCTTTCCAAGCAGTTCCCTTTTGACAGCCTTCTTACTTCAGTGTGAAGTACAAGTCTATATAGTCTTCATTTTGTTCTTCATAAAATAACTTGAAAAGACGTTCACATTTGGCCCTAGCTTTAATAGCATTGATACACTTTATAACTGAATTTAGTACTTCATTTAGAACAGGCGAATTGTTTTTAGCTACCAGGTTTTCTCTGTGAATAACACAATGCACAAGAAGCATTTCTGGATTCTCATCTTTTATCAATTTTAAGCAACTTTTTTTCTTATTCTGTGCTTTATTTTATTTTCAACCATCATATTAGGAGCACCATCTGCAGTACAAGATGTATTATATTTTTTATTGGTATATTTTTTATAGCTAAGTAATGTTTTAGCTTACTATAAATATCTTTGGAGGTAGTGGTGCTTTCTAATGATTTACAGAACATTTCTTCGGCAAAATCCCCTCTATGAATATATCTTACACAAGTTACAAGTACGGCCTCACTGTCTCTCAAAGTTGGTTCATCCATTTGCACCGAAAATTTTCTTGTTTTCAGCTTTTCAACAAGTTGTATTTCAATATCCTCACTCATTTAATCTTTCTTCTGCAAACAGTATTGTTATTTAGTGGCATAGCTTTAACGTCTTTGTCATCTTTTTATAGAACAGTTTCAAATGCTGATATTGATGGTTTGATTAAATTCTCCCCTATAGTACGTCTTTTCCCAGATTAAGCGATAAGTAATGAAATTTGATAAATAGCCTCAAGAGCACGATTAACAGTTGTATTATGAGCAGTAAATAAACGCTTTAATATTACTCTTTTTTTCAAAAATTTTCCTACAGGTGTGAAAATAATTCAAATTTGAATTATTATCAGCAATATGTTTCGCCTTCAAATGTGCCTCAAGACGAACTAGTTTCATTGATTTGTTGATCAGGCATTATTGGCATAAAAGAACAAAAGTTGACTGTTTATGGCTCGGGTATGAAACCAAATTTTAAATATGCCTCCGAATACTGACGAACGTTTTTTCTTTCTTGCACCCCTCATTCACTAAGGGCTGAAAGAAATAAATATAAGATCAATATAAACAAAGCTGAAAGCAGCTACTGTTGCCATTCAAGAAAAGAATAATATACCGGTTGCCATTCCTACAGGAAAAAATAAAATTAATTCATTGGCTGAAATGTGCGAGAAACGTCTGGAAAGCATAATGTGTCAGTTATTTAAATGCCTTTAAAAGCATTTAAATGTCCATGTCTACAGCGAGAATTTTTTATAAAATTTTTAAAATGCACCGCAATTTAAAAACTTTTTTACGCATACATCACTCACATTTTTCTTTATTTTGGGGAATAAAAAATGAAATTTTGACTTCATGAAACATATTTAGAACGTCCCTTGTCCCGTTTGAATGTCCTTTGTCCCCTTAAACTCTGGACGAGTCCATTTTTGAATTGCTCCCATTAACAATCGCTTTGCCCCCTTGTGGGGCATGGTCCCCACGTTGGGAAACACGTGTCTAGAGATTCAGAAGTGTAATTTTTTTCCTCCTTTTTACACTAAGAGATCTTAAAATTTCTGTTACTTTTTTTTTTTTTTTTTTTGCCTTAGGCTGACACTAAACAAATGTATTCTGATGTACAAAAAGAAGTACTAGGCATAGAACCATCTGAAGGAACTCATTTTGCCTGCCACTTTGGACACCTTGCTGGTGGTTATGATGCCCAGTATTACAGCTATTTGGTATGTATTGTAGATATCTATTAAAGAAATGCATTAGAAGTATTTTGATTTAAAAATTTTTACATTTAAAATTGTTATCATTAAACTATCATAAAATTCAGTGGTCTCAAACTAACGGTCCTCAAAGCAATTTTATGCAGCCCATGAATACATTTCAATTATGTATATATTTCAAATACTGTCTTGCAAAGATTTCAAGATTTTAGTTATTTGAAGTCTGAGTTTGCATTATTATCAGTACCATTAAAAACGAACATGGATAACGTACCAGAAAATCTGTAAATAGAGCTAATTAATTTACAATTTAATGCAAATATTATTCTAAGATTTGAAGGTACAGATTTGATTAACGTCTACTCATATTTGTTATGAGATACATTTATACCTGAATAGCTTTTGTTTACAGCTGAAAATTAATAAGAAAAGAACCCAATTGACTGATGAGCATCTACAATAAGTAAAGAAAATATTGGGTTAGCCTATAAATTCATGCGCATTTTTTGGTAAATTTTTAAATAATAAAAAGAAACATGATTTAACATTTTAATCAATTATATATTTTCCTCCATTATGTACAATGTCTTGCCATTTTATTTTTATGCCATTGCTGTAGAAAGACTCTGGTTTTGATGCAAAAAAACTTGAAAGTTCATTATGCACATCCTGTTTAGAATTTAATTTTTTTCCCAGTAAAAAAATTTGTGAGGCACGAAATAAGTGAAAATCACATGAGGCAATATCTGGAGAGTAAGCAGTATGTGGCAAGAGCTTCTAATTAAATTCACTAATTTTTTGCAGCGTTGTTCAAACTGTATGCAGTCTAGCATTATCATGATGAAACAACACTTTCTTGATATTCACCAATCGTGAGCGTTTTTTGATCAATTCTGAGTTTAGACGGTTAGAAGTTGTTCACTATAAACTTCTGAATTAATTGTTTGATTTGGTTCTAACAGTTCAAAACTTTCTGAACGGGGTTCATCATCAATGCTGCTTTTTCCAACTTTAAAATTTTTAAACCATTACCTTACACTAATAGTGTGCTCACCATGTACACTATTAATTTTTATCTCTGCAAACCTGGCAGATTCACCACACAAAAATAAAAAATGTAGCACAGCACACTTATACTGATTATGTATATTCATCTTCTATGGGTACTAAAATGCATTTGATATTTATGAAAGTTGGTGATGAACTGAATAATATGTTAGTCAAACGATGACAAGTTTCAACAGGTTCAAAATTGTATTGTTTTAGTAAATGCGTAATAGTGAATTTCACGCATACTCTTAATGCGCACAAACTTATGGACTGACCCGATAATTTGTAGTTATTTTTTTCCCAAGTCTACAAATTTTCTCAGAAATGAAATGCTCTCAGGTGTCAAGTTGCAGTAAGAAATAAAGAAGTTTATAATTATTTACATACAAATATACATAATTTTTATTTATGTGTTGAAGAAAAATTTAATAAGTATAAGAAAGAAGTATAAATTTAATTTACTTATTCTCAAATTTTGTCCCACTTGGAAATTTTCTCTGAAAACTTAAAAAGTATTCATAATTTGTTTATTTTTAGTTTAATTTAAAGTAAGTTGTTTAATTATTAATGAAACACATTACAATTAACTGAAATAGATGCCAGTTCGATTATTACATATTTTACCTGTTACTATGTTTAAATTACAAAGTGTAAACCAACAAAAATATTTTTAGGTACCAAACTTTAGGTACTGAGGTATTTGGGATTCAGTTAGAAGATATATATAATTTTGATTTTTTTTCTCTTTTCATTATGATTGTTATTGTCTAGGCATATTTTGATAAATATTTAGTTTAAATAAATTTAATATTTAGTTTAAATATTATTTTGATGATAAAATTTTTAATTTTTTATCAACCAAGTTTTGATCTATCAACTGTCTTTGTACTGCCTTTTTTGTTTGTTTGTTTGACATACACAGAAAACACATGCAGAAACATTTTAAGTAGATCAAGCTAGTATTCCAAAAATCTGAAGCCTTTAATTAATTATAAAAAACAGTGATTCCACACAGTCATAAAAATTTGTATAATCAGACACAAAATGAGTATAAATAATGCTTGTGATTAAACATGGAAACATCTTGGTTTCAAGTAAAGTACAGTGTGAAAATCTCAGTCATAGAAATTTTGATATTCAAGCATGCAAAAATTTTTATAAAATAGTGTTCTTGATTATGAATAAAAACATCCTTAACACTTCCATGAAAGTTGGCCTTCTATTTAAAAACTTCATCGTCAGGTTATGGGAAAATATTCCTGGTTATATTTTTTCATAATAGATGGCATATTATTTAAAAAATTTGATGTGGACACCATATGACTTTCCTATATGGCCAATTAGATTACTCATATTTTTTATGTACTTCATTTAAACTTATTTCCTCAGATTATTCTAACTTAATTAATCACAAGGTAATTTGGAAATGACATCAAATATTGCAAATTTTGAAATTAAATATCTCAGTCAATTTTTGCTGTATTGGAGTCAAACTTCTTATAATTTTATTTCTTCATAATGAGTATTTAACTTTCCCAAATATAAGTATAGGAACTGGGAGATTGCATTAAAAGTTAAATTTTGTTATTTATTGGAAATTATTTTATTATTATTGATTAATTTGGCATTCATAGTCAACACATGAATACTTTTGCAATTTGAAACACTTCTGTAATTGGAAGTATATGAAACAACCAGTGATTGCAAAAATAAAGGCCGGGTAAAAACTTTTAAGCTAAGATGATGTGTGTGTGTTTGTGTGTATATATATATATATATTATATGTACATAGAGAGAGATGGATATTTGCCGATCCCCTTTTCCTCCCCCCCCCCCCGAATAAAAAAAGAAAGAGAGAGAAAGAGATGTCCACAAAAATGTTATAGCTGTCCCTCATACAAAATTTCAACATTCTTCAGCTATACAATACAAGCTATTATAGCTATACAAGTATGTGCGCTCATATGCCATGGAAAAAAAATCCTTTTGATTCCATTTTACAATCTGTTTTGGAAAAAAGAGTCATTTAATTTTTCTGTACATACAGACATTGTGGAAAAAAAAGGGGGGATTCAAAAATGGTCATGGATATTTCCTTTGAAATAGCATACTCGAAATTTTTTGCAATTACAGTACTACTTGCTATTGGCAAGGAAATAATAAAGGAAAACAAAATAAAAGTGTAGAGGAAAACTTAAGTCAAGAAACTACCAATACAATATGATTTTCACTTCATTAGGTTTCAGGAACAGATGGAATGACAGCAGATTTAAACTCTGCCAATTTTCTTACATTTCTGTGTTCTGTGGAACTCTGAAAACTCTAGAATGATCTGAAACTGGAAGACAGAAATTCTGATACATTTTTCTTCCATTTCTGTGTTGAATGGAACTCGGGGAAACTATATAATGATCTGGAACTGGGAAACAGAAATGGCGGTACAATTATCTTCCATTTCTATGTTCAGCAGATCAGTGGAATGCTGAAAACTCTGGAATAATCTGGAACTGGAAAACAAGAATGGTGGTGCAAAAATTCACCAAGAAACAATTTCCAAAGAAAATATGCTTATACTACATCTCTACACTCTAAATAAATTTTTTTCTTCTGTAATTTGATTGTGATTTTCTATCATTGGAGAATTAGAATATAATTGACATTAAAGTTCACTTAGTTGCAACCAAATATTTTAGATGTCTATTGCTATTTTAGCATTATATTATGTTTGGTATGAAATAAATTAGTTGCTTAATTCCTTGAAATTAATTTTCATACACCTAATCAAAGATTGCTCTCAGTAATTAATAAAGGTCTCTTAGTGATAGTAGATGAAATAAAAATTCAGCAAATGATATTTTATATATCAAATTCTGAAACCGATATTTATTATAAGTCAGCAAGCATTATCAACATATAAAAAGAAAAAGCACTAACAATTTTAAAATACAAATTTATAAGAAAATAAAACACATTTTTTGCAAAATCCTTCTCTAATTTTTAGGGCTGTTTTTTCCTCCATGTACACAGCAATCTGTTTTCACTTTACAAATGTCAGAGAATTGTAGAAACTCGAGATTATGTACCAGCTATCTACCATCTCATCGTTGTTCACTTTAGCAATTTTGCCACAAAGTACTGTATTTCTGTGGAATTTTTACTGCATTTACTTCCATTGCTGAAAATTTCAACTAGTGCTGTTTTAAAATCGAGCTGAAGGCAAAAAATATCATGATTTGTCTATAAAAACCATTGGAACATGGCATACTGAAAAAGGCATCCATATGGAAATGGTGATGTTGTTTAACTAAAGACTGTTTTGAGCATGATTGCATGGAGAATATTTATATGCAGGGTTGCATATGCCAAAAATTTGGGGTATTCTACTGAGATATTTGCAATCAGTTGAGATGAACACACATATGGTGACTTTTTTTATTTTTGATCATTAGTACCTTTTATGTGAAAAAATTAGTTTGCAGAACTTATTAGAAATTGTTAAAATTTGCGTTGATTTATAATAAATCAAATGAGAAGATTTTCTATTTTTAATTTCACATCAAAATCATCTGATAACTAATTTAATAATCCAAATAATGCATTGTAAAGGGTCTTCGAATCAACTTTTATGTGTTTGGAATTTTTTTAAAACATCCCTTTGCAATGCAAAATTTTCCCTTGTTTTTCATGTTTTAGTATTACCAACTGTGACTGGGTACCAAAAGAAAATGTTTAATTCACTAATTCTTAAAACCATAAATAATGTTTCAAATTATTTGTCTCTTGTTTTGTGTAGGGTTTGCTGTTTGGACATATAATTCTTAATAACAGTGAATTTGTAAATGCATTAGAAAAAAATGTATTTGATAAAATGATTGTCAAGCATATTGTATATATATATATTCACACACCAATTCTCTTAGCATGTTTTTTGCAAGTCCTTGTCTGACAGTTGTTGA